CCGCCGGCACCTCCGCGGGGGTGGGAGCGGTGGGATCGCAGCGGGGCAGTGGGAGGTGGCCGGGGACACGGAGCGTCACCAGCCTGGTGCTGTGACAGGCTGCCACCACGATGGTGACACTTGCAGACAACAAACTGTGCCGCTCCAATCCAGCCGCAATCAAAGCCTGGGAAGATCCACCCACACCCACCAAACACTCCGGGTTCCTCACCCTGTGTGCAGAAACATGCACCACAGAAAGTCCCATGTCCTGGAAAATGTCACCGTACATGTCACGGACCCTTGGCTATGTCACCACGCGTCCTGAGCACCAGCACTTGTCACCACACCTGGCTCACACCTTTGGCTGTGCTTCACGTGTGTCTCGCAGCTGAAAGGTGTCACCATGTCACCACACAGCCTGCAGGAACTGATGGCTCTGGGAAGCCAGGGCTGGGATTTGGGGGTGCTGGAAAAGAGTGCACCTGTGGGTCACCACTGCCTGGTGACACCGCACGTGCAAGAGTCCCCAGCAAAGCACTGCCCAAACCCCAGTGTCACCTGTCACCCCAATCCTCCTCCAGGGAGGTGCCGAGGGCAGCAGTGTGACAGCAAGGGTGGGCATGCTGACTCCAGGAAAGCTCTCTGGTGCTCCAAAACTCAGACATTGAGCCGGTGTCTGTCTTTCCATTGGGTCTAAGGGTTTGGGACAGTCCTGCAGCTGTGTCCTGCTGTGGGAAGGGACAACATCCTTGTTCCTTTCCCCAGAACAAACAGCTGGCTCCCTGCGCACTGACAGCATCTTAAAGCAACTGTCCAGGCTGAAAGGAGCGGATGGTGGGGAATGAGACTGGTGGGCCCCGGCACCGGGAGCCTTTGGAGCACCCATCAAGCTGTGAAAACCCCTCATCCTGGTTACAAAACTCCGGTGACCTACTTTACACTCCCTGCTTTTGTTCTTAATTCCCAGATATGGCTGCTCTCCAGATTTTGCCCATCAAGGCAAATTAATTGGAGTAGATCCTAATTTGCTCTCTGCTATTCTTTGGGCAGAAGATTAAATGCTCTGCAGACATTATCTCCCTCTCTCTTCTCTAAGAGACAAACCTGAATTATTAAAAAAAAGGAAAAAAAAAGGGATAAAGGCCAGCTGAGTCCAGCTGAGTTGATGTTTGAAATCACTTTTGGTAATCGTAGAAGGGGCCAGGAAGGCCCTCATATCCCTGGGAAGTTGGAACCAGAGGTGACACTATTCTAGGTGGCTGTGTGAGTGAGACAGCACACGTGGCACAGTGACATGAGGGCCAACCTCCCACCGTGCCACCCAACACCTCTGCCACACGATGGCTGAATTCCCTATTCCTTCCCCCAGGGAAATTCCTCCTGATGGAGCTGCCAACTGGGGAATGACTCCTCATCTGTGGGGACACACTTGGGTTTCTCTCAACAGGTGTGGAGGCTACCAGTAGAGGGGTAATGGTTCCTGGCCCTTCCATAGTCCCAGTGCCACTGTCCCAGCCTGGCATCCCCAAACCAGGCACCAGTTTCACCACATCCAGCTTTGCTGGCACCCCAGGGGGAGCGGGAGCACTGGAAAACAAGCATAGCCTGGAGGACACTATGTCACAGTGCTGGCCACTGTCCGAGTTTGCATGGGGATTTCTGCAGAGCCAAATGTCCAACTTTCTATGAGGAAACATCAAAAGACAACCTCAATCCCTACAGATCGGAGGTAGTGGGAACAGCTGAGCTAGAGTCACCTCTGCTGTGGGGGCTGTGTTCAGCCCCCCGCCTGGCACCCCATCTGCGCTCAGCTTTGGGGCTGTTTTATTCTCCAGAGAGGCATATGGAAAGTTGGATTTCTTTTTTAAGCAGCTTTAATTGAACATCCTCCTGTTACGACCTCTGCTCAGCCTTGCTGGGACAACCTTGAGCTCTGGCTCAGCATAGCCACTGAGGCTTGGGCTTACTGCCACACAGGGCAGGGATACAGCTTGGAGGAAATCCAGATTTCCCGCTTTACCCCATCCATTTGATGGCAGATGAGGGGCCCTGTTCTCCTGGCAAAGCAGAAAACCCTGGGATCCCCAAATTGCCCCATGCTCAGGATGTGCAGCAATGTCCCAGGCAGCTTTGTGGTACTGGGTGATGCTGGAGGTGCTTCCAGCCCTTCCCATCTTTCCATGGGGAATTACAGCTCGTTGCATCCCAGGGAGACTCTGGAGTCAGCTGGCAGCACCACAGACAGGTGTGGGATGCAGAGGCAGCTCTGAAGTTCCCACTCCAAGCAGGGTTTTTGCTGATGCTGGAGCCAGCTCTGGAGCATCTCTGCATCTCCAGGGAGAGAGGATCCTGCACCTGTGGGCACCCAGCACTGCCCCACTGGTCCCAGCCTGCCTTTAGCAGCTTCCAAAGGAGAAGCCTTGAAGAAGCCACTAACAGGAGATACAAAACTCTAAGGGAACCCATCCCTGCAGACAGGCGAGGGGTCTCAGGAGGGAGCAGCCAGGCTGCAGGACCAGGGGAGTGGTGGCCGCCCCAAACCTGGAAGTGTTCAAGGATGGGGTCAGAGCAACCTGGCCTGGTGGAAGTTGTCCCAGCCCATGGTAGGGGTTTGGAACTGGATGACTTTAAAGGTCCCTTCCAACACAAACCATTCCAGGATTCTGTGATTCTTCACAGACCTTCCTGCCTCAAGGGCTGAATCCTTCCCATGGGGCTGGAGGCAGGATGTAGGTCTTGGGCATCAGAGCTGGCAGGGGATTTCTGAAGGGGTCAGCATGGAAGAGCAGGGGGAGGCCCCTCTCCAGGGAGACCAGCATCTTGGAAGGGAGGAGGCAAAAAAAGAAATGACAAGGAGACAACAGCCCATTTTACCCTTTTGTTAGACCCTGCTCAAGCACAGCACTGCTTTGTGAGTGTGTCAGAAACCTGTTACCAGTCCCCTCTTGGAGGAGGGAGAAAAAAACCAATGGTTTTTGGCTGGAGCAGTGCTGGTGGGAGCCCAGGCACACAGAGCCTGGCAGAGCAGCTGCAGAGCCTCTCAGTGCTCAGAGCTTCATGGCCAGTGGCCCCAGCAGCAAGGTACTTATCCTGGTCCGAAAACTTCCTGCTGTAGCTGCAGAAAAGGCTCTAGATGGAATAACAAGTATCAGGAATCAACAGGCAATGACCTCAAAGTCAAACTGGGTGCCTGACCTGGCAGGCAGTGGATCACACGGATGAGCAGACAGTTCCCTACCTCATCTCTGGGTGTTTTGCCAGGCGGATGTTGGCTTTGTGCAGATGTCTGGTGTGAAGTTCTCTTGGCTCCAGTGGGTCTCAGAGCACCACCACAGCATAAATAATACAAGAGCTGCTCTGATTGAGGTTCTCAGAAGTCCGCAGTTCTGGCCCAAGGGTTCAATGCCTGTTGGCTCTTGGACATTTTTCAGCGGTGATGGACCTGGAACTGCCTCATTCAGTGTTCCCATGAGGCTGGTCAGGAAACAAAGCTGTGAGGAAGTGACTAATGGAAGATGCATCCCCTGAGGGAAACACATCCTTGCAGAGAACTTATCCCTGTGTGAGCATCTGTGACCAAGGGGAGGCAGCCCACTGCTCTGCACCCATCAGCCACGGTGGCAGAGAGGAATGCGCTGGTGGAACCAAGATGGCATGACCTTGAGAAACAGCCTAAAATAACAGGATCAACCTAAACAGGGACACGTGCAAGGTTTCACATGTCAGACACAGGTTAAGCCACCTCTCAGGGACAGCGTGGGGGATGTGTGGCTGTGGAAACCTCTCCAGAAAGAAAGCGGGCGGATTAGAGGGCTGAAAACCTACCAGCAGCACCATTACTGTGTGGGACAGCAAGAACTGGGGAGTTTCCCTTGCAGAGAACTGCACAACTCACCAGATCTGTCAATTCCAGCCCAGGCAGCCCCTTCCCAACCTTCACACATTTCCATGTTTTGTCGGGAATTAAATGGAGAAGAAGCTGATGACAATATAATGTGCATCAGCAGGTACAACTTTTACTACATTATGACTTACTAAACATTTTAAAACAGCCGAAGATCCCAGGAGCATTAAAATAAACTTGGCTATTTTTAAAAGCATGGTAGGAGTGTGAAAATAGCCCCGCTCCACCTGAACCGCCTAGGGAATGACGTGACAGCCAAGCTGGAAAACAAACCCAACAGCGTCGCGTTTGTATATCCCCAAGGGAAAGGAGTGCCGTCAGCATCCCTGCAAGGTGTCAGTCACCCCTCTCTCCCTCCTTTCGGGTCATCCAGGGCTGGGACTTGGAGTGTTTTGTTTAAGGATGAGGAAAGGCTATGAGGAAGAAAGTCCACAGGCAGTTACCAAGCAAACTTTGCGGGTTTTGTGGCACTTCGTAGCTGGGGCAAAGAAAGGAGAAAGGAATGTGCCTCGTTATTCTGCTGTGCACAAGAGCTATCCCACAGGGACTGGGTTTTCCCTGCCAAGGGAGAGGACCAAGGCTTCCGGGCAATTCTCTTGCAAAGAGAATGTTTTTCCAGAGTCCCGCAGCCCAGCGGGGAGCCCTCGGAGCTGCTCCATGGGCTGTGGGCTCCAAGGCGCTGCTGGGGAGCTGTCAGAGCTGGATTTGGCTCCAAAGAAGAGGCACTGTGGCAGCTCTTCCAAGGCAGGAGCATGGGGAGCAGGAACATCGCCCCTGCCAGCGACCACCGGCTCAGCCCACAGGGCTGAAGAGGGACGCAGTGTTGGAAAACGCCAACATCTATCAACATTAGCTTAAGTGTTGCAAAATGCCAAGAATGTCAACATTAGCTTAAGTCAGGCTGTTCTTTGATGTAAGATGCTTGTATACTTTCAAGCCTAATCAGCAAAAAAGGATACCTAATCAGTGGAACAGCCAGCAGCCAGCTCCCTCATTCAAGGATATCCTGGAACTAACGCGATTTGGGGATGTAATTAACTAAAATGTTAGTGTTTACCTATATAAGCATTGCTAACTTGGCAAAATACTCCATGTCCCTGTACCCTAGAGCTATCTTCATTGTAACACTAAAAATCACGCTGTCTGGTCAAAAAGAAGGGTGAAGACCCTTCCCCTGAGCTGGAGTTTCGTGATTTCTATGGAAATTACTAACCAATTTTAATAGAGGGGCTGTTCTCGGGAAATTACCAACCCTGAACTTCTCTGTGTAAGTAATGGCAGGGAAAGGTGGGGTGTGCTGGATTTGTGGAATAGCACCGAGCACCCAGGCTGGGGCAGCTCTGAAATAAACAATCCGTGTTTCTCTGGAGTGTGGCAGTATCAGTTCGATGCACACCAACGAACGCACCTGATCTTGTGGGTAACAGCAGGGCCAGAGCGGTGAGGGGTCCATGAGGGTGAGGAGTTCCAGGGGACCGTGGGGCTGAGGGGTCTCAGGCGGGGCTCAGGGGCCCCAGAGGCCTGAGGGATCTCAGGCGGGGCTCAGGGGTCCCAGAGGCCTGAGGGGTCCCAGGCGGGGCTCAGGGGCCCGAGGGGATGCTGTGCGGCCCCGCAGCCCCTCACGCTCCCGCAGC